AGTCTGAGGAATGATCGCGAGCAACGGTGGATAGGGGTATGTAGAGATGGTGAGAAAGCATCGGCTATCGGTAATAGTTGCACTCTTTTTCGTATAATTAGTAGTACCGGTCCAATGGGAGTAGGCGTAAGTGAGGTAATTAAGGAGTCTGATGGCACTAATTCATACTCAGCAACGCCGTCTTGAACGATGGACTGAGCATTTTAAGGCACAGTCTAGCTGGCCCTTGTCGACACAAAACCTGCTTCAACTGGGTAAATATTGCCAATGGACATAACTCCATCTGAAACGGAGGTCACCCGGGAAGTAAATTATCTCAAAAGCTATAAGGCTTCCGACCCAAACGGCTTGTCTCCATCGGTTTTTAAGTGATAGGCAGCCCTGCTGTCACCTGGCTCACTACCACGATTAACCTACTGATTTACAAGAAAGGTGACAGGTCCCCTTGTGGAAAACACAGCGAAATTAGTTTAATCAACATCGTCTTTAAACTTGTCGCAGGTGTTATGGTCCGTCGATTGCCTGCCGCACGTGAACGGTGCACGCGTCAGAACCGGTCTGGTTTTAGAACTGGTAGAGGTTGTATAGACCATATATTCTCTCCGTTAAATTCTAGAGCGCAGACACTCCTTTCGTATACCAACGATTTCTATCTTCCTCTATCTGAAAGCGACTTCCGACTCGATCGACTGACGTAAAGTCTGGTACTGCGTCTCTCTGGAGGGTGCACCCGAGGAATTCATTTCAATTTTGCGATCTGTGTATGGTAACAGCCGAAACCAAGTCCGAACCTGAGGCAATTTTTCGCCGAAGTTCACCTCAGAAAGAGGTATTCGTCAGGGATGCCCTCTCTCTCCCTTTGTATTTAACTTTGTCATAGATTTAGATTAGGGACACAGCCGTATGCTAATACGAAGATAGCGGTATCGATTTGTTATAGACTGTCTGATCCTGAGTATGCAGATGACATTGTGCTACTAAGTGAAGATCCCGGTAAGTTGCAAGCTTTTCTGGTTTGTTTGAGTACTAGTTTAGCCATGTTCGGTATACGTTTTGAACCTTATTACATTTAATTTTCACTTACGTCTGAGTCCAAACTGTGTCAGACAAGTCACAGTAAAATCACGCTTATAAAAAAAGAAAAAGATTTATGATTTGCTCATGGGCGTGATACTGCTAGGTTGCCCAGACCAAGGTAGGGAGCCTTCGGCTAATCAAAGTTTGACTCGCAGTGGGTAGGGCTTCCTCAGCAGAGGCTATTCGAAACGTTGGTCATATTGGAGCATTTCGGGGGCGTGAGGGAGGAGTCATCAGCCCTAACCGGAGACACCCACTCCCGACCATAACGAGGCTTTCGGAGGCACCTTAAAAGTGCGAAATGCTACTACAAGGTTGGGTTGGCTCAGTCTCCAACCTCACTCTAGCCAGGGAGTTAGTAGAGAATGTAGACATTTTTCTATTTGGGCAACTATATCTCACCTGGCCGACGCGTCGCAGGTGATGTTTCGGCATGCATACAGGAAGCTCGGTTGGCATTTGTCAACTCGAGACATCTGTGGCACCGTCGCTTCATCCGGCTGTTTGTTAAGGGTAGAGTATATGCTGCGGCAGTTCGATCATTTCTGCTAAACAATGTAGGATAAAGATAAACCGTCGGTTTTCGAACATCACTGTCCACGTCGCGTTGCACGAATCTGATGGGGAAACCAGACAAGCAATGTGGAGGTTAGACGTAGAGTTTTGGGTCGTCCACTGGAACAAGTGGTCGACCTTTATAGACTACAGTGGTTGAGACATGTATTGTTCATGCCGCCAAATAGATTTCTGTGGTGCGCGATGTTTGTTGAGGCAGGTATTGGGTGCAAAATGGTCAAGGGCGGTCAAATTAAGACTTGGTATGAGGGTATAAAAAACCTGATGACGACACGATTGCGCAAACCACTGTGGGATAAGGTTGATCCTAATCGTCACCAAAGTGTTACCCTGCGTCATACTTTGACGTCTGTCTGCTTTCAGAGAGACCAACATCCGGATTCTGGCCTGACTCTAAGTGTCTCGATCGAATTTTTACGTTGCGTCAGGTCCTTGGGCTGCGTCACACCCAATGTCGACCGACAATCACAGTGTTTCTTGACTTGAAAGGAGCCTTCGACTCAGTTGGCCGCGATGTGCTAATGGGTTCGCTTCCTATGGTCGGTTGAGGGTCTATACTGGAAGAAATAGGTCGTTCGCCACCATTAGCGGCGTTCTTCAGAGGTGCCCTATTTCGTCATTACCGTTCAGTTTTGTCGTAGGCTAACTACTGGAGAACGCAGTAAGTGATCCCAAAAATGGGCAGCTGGGTAAAAAATTGTTCAATTGACAGCACGGTGATGATATCGTCTGCCTGTTCCAATTTATGGAGGATGCGCGAAGCACACTTGATAGACTAACAAGCGCTGTTACCCCATTAGGTATGTGGTTCATTTATATATTTTGAAGTAACGTCGACTACGACCGAGTGTGACGCACTTCAGAACGGGAACCCCGAGCTCGCAGCACAACCAAGTTGCAGCTGGTTAAACCAGAAGACTTGTGGTTGTATACGTTTATTGAGGTACCGTGGCACGGAGAAAGTAACGAACGTTTGCATTAAAGTACGAAGGCGAGCGAACCAACGAGCGCGATAACGAGCAGAACGGAATGAAAGCGAAAAAGTGAAAGTTTCCCTCGCGGAAGGATACAGCAGTTTTCAATCGTATAAAACAAACGTCAAATGGCGTTGGTACTGAAGTAAAAATGTGAACGTACATTCAGATTGTAGATAAAAAGTGGTGTCCGGCAATTGTCTACCATTGTCCGGCTTTTACCGTACAATCGACCACGCTACAATTTCACACTTGTCTGAGGACGGACTGTGTGCCAGGTAAATCATGGTGCAATAATCTTTTTGAAACACAAAATTTTCATGATTTGCTTGTGGGCTGTATACTGCCAGGTTGCCCAGGCCAAGGCAGGTGAATTCTCCTGAGGAATCCACAACCGGAACCTTCGGCTAGCCAAAGCCTGACCCGCAACGCAGCGGGGCGGTGTGTGAAAACCGCAATCCTGTGGGGGCCGGTGTCCAGTTCATCGGATCATACGCCCTTTGGACGGGGTCAAACATCCAAGGTGACCAATACACCTGGATGCCCAATCGAGCCAGTGACCACTGCCACAACCGGGAAGGTCTGCTTAGTTCGTGCGCTTCTTATTGGCTGGTTTGGAGTCAGGGATTTTTGCCAACTCCCCTAGGTGAACTACCAGTGGTCCACCAACTCGGTTATAGCCCCGGTTTTCGGCTTTTCGTCCTCCCACTGTGGTGGGAAACACCTCCGCCACGAGAAGGTAATGAGTAGGGCTTCCTCAGCTGAGGCTATTCGAGACGCTTGGTCGTATGGGAGCATTTCGTGAGGTGCAAGGGCACGGTAACCAGCTGCAACCCTAGACACTCGCCCCCTACCATACTGAGGCTTTTGGAGGCATGTGGTTCGTACCTTCGAAATGCAAAGTGGTGCTACGAGACTGGGTGTCGCCTACTCCCGCTTTGTAACTAAATTGCCAGGAGTTATACTAGTTTGCTTTTCCTCCTTGGGTAGTTGTGTGACTAATGACGGTAGCTCAACAAAGGTGATAACCGACCGCATTTCCAAAACTCGAGCAGCCTACGCAAGAGTGAAACACCGTTGGCGTAGACGCGAAGTTTCAATGAATTTGAAAGGTCGTGTATATTGTGCTACCGTCCGTTCCTTTCTGTTTTATGGTTGTGAGGCCTTGAATTTGCGAGTTAAAGATATTCATCGATTAGAAGATTTCGATTACTGGTGTGTACGTAGTTTGGTTCATGTGGGATAATGCGAACGGGTTAGTAATCTGGAGGTAAGCCGTCGTGTGTTTGGGAATTTACCTAGAATCGTTATGCTAGAGCATCGAATTCAGATGGGTAGGCCTTGCTGATTAGGCATTACATATGTTCAGCTCTTGTCTACCGCACCGCGTTTTATTCGCTGTAGCTGCTCCGGGATGTAGAAAATCGCGTGAAGGTCAACAGATGACGTGAAGATGAGGCATGGAGAAATACAGTTTGCTAACTGAAAGATTGGGCAACTAGTTGTTTGGAGACAATAAAAGAATACGGCAACTAACAGACAGCAGTGGATTTCTTGATTTCATTTCTTATTAGGTCAGAATGCTTGAAAATGAATGTACGTACAGTTGGCATGTATACTCTGCGTGTTCACCACAGATGTCCACTTTCCCCCTCCATCAAAATAAGTTCAATCTCTGTTCACCTTACATATTCCTACTGACTGATTATGATGGTGATGCATTACTATTAGTACGATCGTCTATTTCTGACTCATCTTGCAAAGTTATTCTCAAATGATTGATAAAAGTTTATGAAGCAGTTTCATCTCCCTGTGGTGTCTCTATCCATGAGCTGATTTTTTTGGTCCTAATTATCCATGCTTGACTGCTTTGAAACACTTTCTCATAAAATTAGTATGCCTGCAAAGATTACGGTACCTCGATACCACCAGTAATCGGTATTGGGGATAAGTAGTGTAGTTGAAGATGCTTCAATGTGAAATTTGTAGTCATGTGAATGTGGATAAATAGACTAGGCCACGTATTGCACATACCTTAACAGTGGTCCACCGTGTTGCACTCTGCAGGTTTGAGGCTGATTGGTTTGCCAAAATACGATGGAATAGTCGCCATAGTCGCTGCATGTTCCTGGAATTTCAGTAATGTCCTTTCCTATCGTTACTTTCAGCTTCACAAATGGATCCTTTTGACCGAGATATTTGACGGGATTCGTCTGGAGAATGAATATGACCACTTTGAGAGATCGTATGTGCATTCTACAATGCCTACATGGCCTCTTTATCGTCACGTTACTATGTACGGGGATCGTGGGTCTGGGGTTGTTTGGTTTCATTATCGGACAACCTGTTCGTTCCTGTCCCGTCATCTATGTCATGTACACAACTTTCTGGCTGGCAGTTGGACTCTCTGTGTTTCAGGTTATTTTGGGTCTGGTATTTCTTATTTGGTTTGTCATCACTTTGCTGGTACCAGTCAAATCAGCAAGTGGCCAGCAACGTCTGAGTTGGCCGCCTAATACGAGCGGTGGAACTCCTCGAACGGTTGTGGAAGCTCTGGGTGAACCACGCGGAGCTGCATCGCATGCAACCCGTGCACGGCAGGCTTACTCCATGTCACCTCGAACTCACTCTGCCAGTCTGTCCTCCCTTCGGTCCCGATCGCGTTGCTCATGTCATCCTAAAGTTGGATGGCTTTGTCTGGCCGGAATTTTTCTCGCTCTCCTCTCAGCTGGTTTGACTCTGAGCTTGGTGATTGTTGTGAACTATGTCAAATATCTGGATACGTCATTTATCCCTGAATTCACAAACGTGTTTATTGAAGCCCACGTTGATTTCAATTCTCAAACCTCGGACTCACCAAAACACTCACTAGTTTGTTGGAATATTGTCCAATCGCACTACAGATGTTGCGGTTTGACTAATTATACGGATTGGTTCTCCGGTAGTAGTAATCTCACAAGTCCAGGGCAAACTCAGTTACTTTTGCCCGACTCCTGTTACTGTAAAAGCGAGTGCGATTATCACAAAGTGAAACCAATTGGTGATGGCACCCATTTGGTTTATACGGTAGGCTGCAATCCTCGAGTTCATGAAGCATTCCATTTCAAATTACACTCATCATTGTTGTACTTTGCACTAACTCTCGGATTGCTGCTGACAGCTTTTCTAGTCGACTTGGTCTATACCCTATATACGGCCTATGTAACCTTGTCCTTAACGCATCGTGTTCGCGGCGCTGATGATGTTTCTGCTGCGGTCTTTGACCTGCAACCACTCCCTTCTTCTTCTTCACTTGAACCGACATCTCATTCGGCCAATGTATCGATAGTTAACGGTAATACAGGTCGGGAATTCTGAACATTTGATTGCTTTTCCTGTTTCAATACACCATCCTTAAATGACCTGCTGGTTTTACTCATCTCATTGAAAAACCGGTTATGTGCCCTTTCTATGCACGTCTGTGCCAGATTTATGCATATCGTGTGGATCAGACAATGACATGTTCTTTTCATTCAGTTCACGTCTATCTCAGCACTTAAATGATCTATGAGCTTATTCTCAGAGCTGTATCATTTTTGAGCTATTTGCTTGCTTCTTTATGTCACAAGATTTTGCATACTTTCTCCTATTCCTGTCCCTAACCAAATCAATCATGACATCTCGTACTTAGTCTTCGTAATTCACACACATCCATTCATTTGGTTTCTCATGGATCTTTTTAAATCTCTTAACCGTCTATTTTCCATATCGTTTTATGATAAGCGGTTTCGGTTTCTTTTCGAATAAAGTATGTACCTCTCTTATTATTCTATTGATGGTAATTTGCACTGTTGGTCCTTCGCACTTGCTTTGCCCTGTTTGTGTTTTTGAACATTATTCTTCTAATGGACAATCATTTTCAATCAAATCGGGTATTGGAATATCACTACCCTCTTCATTCTCTTGTTTTTGTTTCTGAATGTCTTCTGGTTCCTTGAGGCCATTTGCGAGGGTACTTTGAGTCGTTAGTTCTCAGTTAGCTCTGAACGCAAATGCATATTTCGGGAACCAAGCTAGTCGAAGTGGCGAGCTTTTTAAGGAGGCATTTGCAAGCATCTATTGCGGTAGGAATGAAGCAGTGATATACATACTCCGCCGATCATCCATCATTTAGGGACCGTTGTTTTTAAGCGTTGCTTAGGTATTTTGGTCACATTTAGTGTAGAAAAGCCTTGAAACAATGAAGTACCTATTTAAAATTTCTGTCTCCTTTGATGGTACTGCTTGTCTGTACATCTCTCCCTGATGAATGTGACTTAATTGTTTGTCGTATACTAGTGACTGAAGCCGAATAGGAGATTGCCGTATCGCAGCATTTTTTCTCTTCACCGTGATGATTGAAAATTACTTCGATTTCTCTTTTTAATTTTTAGTTGCTGTCGTTTCCAAGACTTCTTTATCCTCTGTATGGCCATAGTGACGTGAAGTTTAATCCAGGTGACGGAAGAAACGATTGAGTGGTCTGATTTCTTTAATAGTTTAAGGTTTATTCCTCATTCGTTTTGGGAGAAAAATTTTGTTGTGAAATTGAATCAGTTGTGTTCGAAAGCTTTTTCTTGGTAAGAAGAATTCGATGAAACAGATATTTGGCCATATATCCCTTGACGGTATGCAGAGAGAATTTTTCAGCGTGGGTCATTCTCTATGTCGCTGTAACTTCCATTCATTCATAAAATTTTGAGGTTCGATCAGTCTTGTTGCATGGTTTAGATACGCAGCGAAATTGCCCCGATTGCACACAAAGACCCACTTTTGAGCAAGACTACTGCCAGGCAACCGATGTTGAATTTTGGTTTGTGGTGGTCACTTGTCGAGGCTAGACATTAATTTAAACGTGTGATCTTAAAAGTATGCCAGAAGAGAGGGATTGAATTTCGGGCATTACAACACGATGCAACAACTATCTTTGAGGTCGGTAGTTATTATGTTTGGTTGATCAAGTCAAGTTATTGCACTCGGGGAGGAATATTCAGTGACGGCTCTGCAAAGGAATGAATAATTCATAGTTCTAACCTAATACGGACAACGAAAAGTTTAACCAACTGTGAGATACACTCCTGATGAATTAAGCTAGTACCACAGACAAACCTATTGCGGTTTGACACAAGCGACGATTTGTAAACTATTATTCTTGTATGCGTATACATGTGGCGGTCTTGCATGGTAAGTAACTACACATTTGATCAGATCATTGGGAGGAATATGTTTGACATTAACCACAATTTAGCTGGAAAACAAATACTAAGGGACGTGAGGTCGGATATGCGTTTAATTCAGTTTACTTCTAAGTCTAATGTCTTTAGCGAAGGAACGTCAAAAGAAAGACTCCTTATTATTGTGAAGACTATCCTGATATGATCTAAGTTGGATTTCGGCGTCGAATAATATCAAGCTAATTACCAAACGAATTTTGAATAATGGGTTCATCCTGCATAGGAGTGAGTACACAGCGCTAGGTTTTTCATTTGTACTTCATTTTATTGAATATGTATCTTACAATTTTCAGGAAGGAGAAAGCGGTCAATCGAAGGGCTGCCATACAACACGGAATGGAGGAAGCTAGGTGGTGGTGATGATGGGATTCAAACACACGCCCTCCGGAGTGATAATTTGTTGGTCTTTACCACTCGGTCACCACCGCCCTGTGCCCAGAGCACAGTTTGTTTTGGTGACGTATAGTGGCCATTCCAACTGATGAACTTTATGATCGGAGTCCTGGAACTAAGTCATTTAGCTAATGCCTGCGTTACCTCTCCTTTGGCTTCATAGTTTCCGAAACACAACTGAATGCTTTTGTTGGAGTCTACGTTTGTGAGGTGAACGTCACACTAATATAGGTTATCTAAGCTACATTGCGCATTTGTGAATCACTGTATTGGTTTTCACATGTAAATCCGGACGCTTCTCATTTGCGTTTACTTATCGATCCGTCGAATTATAAGCATTCGTTGGTTTCTTCTGTTCAAATTTTCTTATTTACCTGACACGAAAGAGAATATTTAGCAAATTTTCGACAATTGAGCGTTGATTGCGAGCTGAGCTTTAGGCCAAACACCAAAATATTCAAAACAGCTAGGATATTGCATTTTGTAGGCACGAAACTAAGCAGAATCATACTCATATTGTAAGGAGCAGGCGAGCTGGCTGAGAAAAACGTCTATTGATCCAATTCAAAAGCAAACGGTGTATGCGTTCGACTATATACAGTCAATTCTCTACCGCGCGGCGGGATGATTCATGCCTCTTTTTGTGGGTCGTTCCTTGTTGGTTTTCGTCCGCACTTGGCACGTACGTTGCCTCTTCTTTCGCGTGCCATTCCGACTGGTTTGACCCGATCGCGGCGCGAGATACGTTGATCGACAGCTCCGACGTAGCGGCATTCGGTGGGTATCTTTCCCGTTAGCTGCGGATTGTCTGTCGGGCTGTAATTGTCGATTCGCTCGTTTCGGGTGGCAGTCAACATCGTCTTGCGAAGCATTTCCCGCCGCTGCGTCTGTGCGTCTGGTCGGATGAGCCCCATTCTTGATTCGGTCGCTAGCCAGGACTCTCTTTGTACTGCGTTCCATCACAATATTTCACCTGCGCTTAGATTTTGGCGTAATGTTTCCACATGATGTTTATTGACTAGGCAACCGGAAATATTAGTTTGATGAATTGATTTGTATAAAATTGTGAATTTTCACTCTCCGCGAGATAGAAAGTGTGAAAATGAGGGGACTGAGATAATGTAGTTAAGAAAGGAACGGGTACCCGTTTTCTTCTTTCAGCGTCTGCTTTCCGCTTCGGAAGTGACATCTTTGTTTCGATACCAACCATTCTTGCGTTCATATAAATTTGTCCACGATATTTTTGGCTCCGGCTAGCAACTCAATAAATAACGTACATTCATTCACATCCGCGGTTCAGGATGTCCTTCATATTGTGAAAAGGGTTTCGTTTTGGGATTATTTTCCTAGAAATGGAAACGCCGCAAGTTCAAACTATTCCAAAATATGAGTTCTTACGTCAGACTGAAACATCACAGACAACTGGAAACATCCATAATGAATATCAAATACTTGCATGTTGAACTCCAGTGTTACTCCACTGTGGACAATGTCGAATCGGTCTACAAAATTTCGTTTGAGTATCACATATAACCGAATGAGATAAAATACAGCGTGTATAGATCGATTGATAAAATGAAGAGGTACAAAATGAGATAGAAGTTAGAAATTATAGGAAGAATATATCATTAATTTATTAAAATACGGAAGGTGTATGTTCATAGGAAGTTAAATGTCGACTTGAGGTAAAACCGGTCTACTCAACTTATACCTGGCTGGTTAAAGTTTGGTCACACAGTTTTATTTTAAAAGGATTCAACTGTGCTTAGTTTTCGAGTACCTTTCTGTGGAAAAAAGCAACATCTACGAATAGAATGACTGCTGTTTTTCGACTACTATGCAATTTGACATATTCAATGATGCTTCTCAGGGAAACGGTGTATCTATTTGAAATCGCAGACGTATTTTATCTCTGAAACTTACGACGAACAGGGGGACTTAGAGACATACAAAGATGTTCAATATGGTGACAGTCTAGTACCTTCGACACCAATTGAAAATGTTATTGTGGCAGTAATGGTGCTATGCAAAGGGAAAAATTGCTAGTTGTTTGTTAAATTCCATAGTGAAAAGTGAATGATAAAGAGGGATTTCTTGTGTGTGGAGGGAAAGATAAACTCTTATCTTATCTCTCCTAAAGCTACCAAAAATATTACTATAATCAAAGAAACTAATTTTACCATTGTTACCTTTTCTTACTGGTCCAGATAAAATCAGCACGATCTGTCAATGGGACAAAGAAATCAGGTAGAAACCAGAACGGTTGGTGTGCAAACTGGTTAGTAGTGGTAGAAACGTATACTCGTTGATTTTTTTGAAATATCAAGCATCTATCTATCAAGTA